AAAAGTATCAGGAAGTCCTTTTTGGGAAAACCCAGTGTACAAAAACCAGCCACCAAAGGTTGAAATTACTGAAAGACCAAAGAAGGAAACGAGTCAAAAATTGTGCAGGATTATGCAGGGTGGATTTATTAGGGACAGACTCATGGGGCAGCAGCAAGATAGGTGGAACCCCACCACCACAAGGCAGGGGGAAGAGGTTTAAATGGTAACTAAACAAAGTGGGCTGGGTTTTTTCAAAATGTTAATACCATTGGTAAGAAATAAGGTGCAAGGGATACAGCTAAAGCTAAAGCACCTACCTGCCAAGGTCCCAAGTTCAATCCATGGTGTCGCAAAAAAAAAAGTCCAAGCTATGAGTACCGGCAACACCTGTAATGCTACCCTGGAAACTGAAACAGAAGGATAACAAGGTCAAGCCCTGCCTAGACAACTTAACAACTTAGAATGACCCTGTCTCAAAAGTGAGCTAGGGCCGGGGAGATGGCTCAGTAGAATAAGCGCTTGCCTGTCAAGCACAGGGGCCTGAGTTCAATCCCCGGTTCCGCCAAAAAAAAAAAAAAAAGAGCTAGTTCCAGAGGGACCTTGCCAAACTGCATGGGGAGATGAGAAGCACACGTTTGGCAGCCATACCCAGGGGCTGAGGAGACATGAAATACAGCACCCATGCTGCGGAGAATTAGCAGATGAGTTGGCCAGTCTCAGGATATTGCTTCTTCCAGGGCACTGAAAGCCTCAACCCAGTCAACCAGAGTATTGAACAGTCTCATAGGATTGCCAGAAACTGACCAGAAGAGCTCAGAAATCAGCTGGAACACAAGAGCAGTGCCTTCATTACTTTTCTCTGACTGCTGAGACAAAATACCTGTCACCCAGAATTAAAGATTTCTTTAGCTCATTGTCACAGTCCATAATCAGTTGGCTCCTAGGCAGGGTGGCAAGACAGAAGGCTAGCAGTTCAAGGCAGTGAAAGTCAACAAAAGCAGTAAGGGCCAGCGAGATAGCTCAGTGGACTAAGCACCTGCTTAGGCAAGCACAGTGGCTGGGGTTTGATCCCTGGCGCCACATGCCACATTGGCCCCACTCCACGGCCCACTGAGCTGGCTGCTGAGACCAGGAATGGTGGTGCATTCCTGTAATCCCAGTGCTGGACAGGCTGAAAACAGGAGGATCACTATGACTCTGAGCTGTTAGACCCTGTACCAAATACATAAAAAGTAAGTTAATAAAAAATAAACTTAAGCAGAGCTAAAGGGGGGAAGAGCAAGCTGCCTTTCCTCATATTATGTATAGGCCCTGCATCCTGAGGATGTTCCTTTACACCCACACCATCTCTGCCCTCTTACACAAGCTCAGGACGTTTACAAAATGAGGACCCTGGGCCGGGGAGATGGCTTAGTGGAATAAAGCACTTCCCTGGCAAGCACAAGGGCCTGAGTTCAATCCCTGGTTCCGCAAAAAAAAAAAAATGACCCTGAGCCCCTGCTGACTAGCTGAGTTAGCCTTCTAACCTTGTCAAAATGACACAAGTTGAAAGTCTCCAGTTCAAAAAAGGGACAAGTTACTGCTTTCTATCAGCATCTTATTGGAGCTAGACATCCTGGGAGGCTTGGTTTATTGCTAATTCTTTCACAAACATTAACCTTTATATGTAAAGGGCTTCTTGGACCAGAACCTTGACCCTGTGGAGGAATAGTGTTAGGTGGAATAAGCATGTTGCTGCTGTGGGCTGACAGTTCTAGGATGCACTGTGTGGGAAGAGGGGGGCTAGACAACCACATAAATGTGAAGGAAGAATAACAATACCAGTATGATATACCAAAGCAATAAATGTTACAATTTCTTTTTTAAAAAATACAGTTAGGGGCCAGAGAGATGGCTCAGTACAATAAGTGCTTCCCTGGCAAGTGCAAGGGTCTGAGTTCAATCCTCAGTTCTGCAAAAAAATAAATAAATAAAAGTTTTTTTAAAAATAAGAGTTGGGGTGGAGCCAGGGAGATGGCTCAGTAGGATAAGCACTTGACTGGCAAATGCAAGGATCTGAGTTCAATCCCCGGTTCCGCAAAAAAAAATAAAAAATAAAAAATAAAATAAATAAATAAAAATAGAGTTGGGGGTGTAACTTAGTGCAGAGGCCCTAGATTTAACCCCACTATCACCAAAAACAAAAAAGTTGTCAGGACATCACTCCTAGTGACTCAGACTGTCATAGGATGGAAGACAGGACCCCGTCATGGGGCCCCAGGTGTGTGTGCACTTTGTAAATTTTTATATCAAGACCACAAACTACTGCATAGGACCACTCCAGGAAGAGGAGCTGGCATTTGAAGTCTGCTAGATCTGGGTTCAGCTCATCTCCTGACTCTCTTGGCATGCTCTGTACTTGTGATGGGTGTGTGTGTGTGTGTGTGTTGGGGGGTTCTTGTTCAACGTGATTGTCTGCTGTAAGCCCAGTCATGAGGAAATCCTCACAACAGAGCCTGTTGGGGAATTTTGTCTGCTGGTGACACATGCTTGGTGGCACTGTTCCGTGCAACTAAGAACTTATCCTCACCAGCTCCATACTGACTGGGAGGATCATTTTTTTAATTGGAAAGGTTTTAATTTGGGTATTTTGTTTTGTTGGGGATTTTGTGAAGGGCAGCTGGTTGTTTTGAGACAGTCTTGCTATGCAGTTTAGGTGGACCTCAAACTGTGTACCTCAGGGCCAGCAAAATAGCTCAGCAAACGAAGTGCCTGCTTAGGCAAATGCAGGGACTGCACAACATGCTGTACTGGCCCCACTCCCAAGTGGCTCATGCCTGTAATCCCAGTGCTGGGGAGGGTGAAAACAGGATTACTACAAGTCCCAGCCATGTAGTGAGACCCTGTGCCAAATACATAAAAAAGAAAGCCCCAGGGGGCTGGAGAGATAGCCTAGTAGAATAAGGGCTTGCCTGGCAAGCACAAGGACCTGAGTTCAATCTCCAGTTCCATAAAAAAAAAAAAAAAACACCTTTTTTTTTTTTTTTGCAGAACCAGGGATTGAATTCAGGCCCTTGGGCTTGCCAGGGAAGCGATTATTCCACTGAGCCATCTCCCCGGCCCTATTTGCTGCTTTTCCTGCAGTTTGCAACTCAAAACCAAGAAGAAAACAAACCCCTCACTGAGCCCAAGCAACACTGGGCACTGGCTGGAAGTGCATTTACCACGGTTTCTGTACTATCCTTTTGATAGCAGAAACACAGGCTCTGGTGGGCAAAGTACCATATTTTTTTTTTTTTTTTTCTGCCCTGGTTGATCCTTGCCTTCTGAGAAGACAAGTCACTGCTTTACCGAAGTCATCAGAACTGTCAGTCGCCTGGTAAAGGACCAGAGCTCTTGTGGGCTGGTTTTGCTGAAGGACTTAGGTATTAGGATGCTCAGGCCCTATACGGGGCACACCCAGTTCACCCTGGCAGGCTGACAGGCTCTTTCTTGTATTGTCTCGTATTCAGTGGGAGTAAATTTAGCAGTAGCTAATCCTGCAAAGGGCCAGGACCCAGTCAGCCCAGCCACAGGAGCCTGCAAAGGACCCTAACAAAATACTCATTTGCTGCCTGTTCTCTGTTTGGAAACTGAAGTCCATGAACCTTGACTAGGTGATATACTTAACATTTTGCAAACCAGCCGACCATGGTGGCACATACCTGTAATACAGCACTCTGGGAGGCTGAGGCAGGAGGATCACCAAAAACCTTGTCTCAAAGAGCTGGGGATTGTACCTTAGTATTCCCTACATTCAACTCCCAGTGCCCCCCCCCCACACACAATTTGCTCCTTTTAACTCATCCTCGTCTCCCCACTGCACTCGAAGCAAATGACTTCCACACAGCAGTCCATATCAGACCGTACAATGGCCTAGTCTTAGTTGTTTTTTTGAGACAAGGTTTTACTAGGTAGTTCAGGCTGGCCTGACTTGTGATTAGCCTTCCAAGCGGCTGGATTTCAGGCACAGGCCACCATGCCCAGGTGAGGGGATCTAAGAGCTCACAGCCTGGTATGGGGCTCAGTAATACAGTGCATGCCCAGCATGGGTGTAGCCCTGGCTTCCAATTCCAGGCACAACAAAATGAACGGAGCTGACTTCTGCAGAGCTGCCTCCTGTCAGCCCCTTCCTAGAACGACTGTGTGAGCCAGGGGGCTCACCTGGCAACTGGGAGGGCCCTGCCACATGGAGCTTGGTGCCATGTAACAAGCCCAACCCAGGACAGCTGTCCTTATGCCAGGCAGGAGCCCAGAACTGCCACCCAGCTGGTCTCCACAGTTGCCCAGGAAGGTCTGCACTCCTGTCATACAGAAAGAGGACCGAGACACAGGCCCTGTACCCAGCTGCTCCTTGCCACCCCTCCATGACTAGTAACTCTGCTCAGAGTTCCTCACACATCAAGATCTAAGTGCAGCTCCCAAACCACATGGCTACAGCAATCTGGCCAAGCTAGTTTCTCATCGCTGTCCTGTGTCCCACACAGTCCTGTACTCAGTTCTGCTCAGGAACACCATGGGACCACAGGAACTGGATGGGATGGTGTGTATCTAGGGGCAGGACAGCCCTCTGCACAGGTGGTCCAAAGTCCTCTCCAGGTCTCAACTGTCATTGGTGGGGCAGAAGTGGACCCAACCTTGCTCCTGGGGATCCCAAGATGACCTGGCTGCACAGCTGCTCAGCCTCACTTGTGGGGCCATCGGAAGAGACAGGCCGGGAGGTGGAAAAACAGCTGAAGACTTGTGGTCCTGCTAAAGAGCTCTGGCACACACCAGGGAGCTCAGCTGCTTGGTTTCTGGGAAAGAAATATAACTAAAAGTATTGGCTCTTGTTGCTGATGAGACTTCACACCAAGATGCTCTTAATGCTCTCACTTCATACAACTGACCTGTTTCACACGGCATGTTTGTATCCACTTAAATGTGGACTTTGAAGTCTGGAGTTTACAGGCATCTATCACCACACCTGGTTTTTGTTTTGTTTTTTCAGACAGGTCTTGCTACATAGTTCAGGCAAGTCTTAAACTTGTGGCAATCCTCTCGCCTCTGCCTCCCAAGTGCTGAGATTACAGACATACATTACCATGCTTGGCCCTAAGCAGTACTTTTTAAAATAAATCCTACCAGGGCCAGGGAAATAGCTCAGTAGAATAAGTGCTTGCCTGGCAAGCGCAAGGGCCTGAGTTCAATCCCCGGTACTGCCAAAAAATAAATATACAAACCCTACCATTTTCAAGTTGATCCCAATTCCTCCAGGCCAAGCCACAGGACTTAGGTCCAAAGAGCAGCCTGTGAGTGCCGGGATGCCCTCCCTGCAAGTCACACACATAAGCAGAGTTTTTCCTTTTATTTCTCTTCACATTCAAGGCATAGCTTTGTTTCAGCAGAAGGGATACTGGGACAGGCAGTACCCCTAATAGGAAAACTGTTCCTCCTCCAGCCCCTTCTACTTCAGACAGCCTCAGAGCAGGAGTAAGGACACTCACTGAACAGTTCATTGTGGCACTCTGCAGAGGTAGGAGGCTAACCCCACAGCCCAAGCCTCCAGGAGTCTCTTCAGCGGGCCCAGAGCAGCAACCAGCCCTGAGGAAAGGGCTCTCCCTGGGGCCTCTGCAGCCTGAAAAGAAAACTCACCCACTAGAAGAAAAGGGGCCTTCCCTGAGGTATTAGGTGGGCAGCAGTTCAAACAGAGCTTCTGCTCCAGAGCTGCAAAATTCAAACACACAGAAGACCTCAGGAAAATGTCAACCTTCTTTCCAGGTCTCAGGTGACAGCAGCCACCAAGGATGGAACAAAGGTATATTTAAAAGATCAGGCACTTTGTGCCTCCAGCGTGCCTCAAGCTGGTACCCAAAGAAAGCAGTAAATTGTCCTCTTAGCAGAAAAATGGAGTGGCCTTTATCTGGCCTGGGATAGCAAAAGCCATGTTCTCAGCGGATTCATTGCTGGTGATGAACTGAGCCCAAGTCCCGGGCTGGCAGCAGACTGAGTAGCTGGTGCTCCAAGCTGCAGGGGGCAGACCAGCCGCACTCAAGTGACAGCAACCCGAGCTCTCCAAGTACAGCCCTCACATGTGCTCCTCCCCATGGACTAAGGCCAGGTACCCTCTTTTGTTCTGGCTACAAGCAACCAAAAACCCACTCTGCAACTCCCTGTGGGGTGGGTGGATACCCCTTGCCAGCATCAGGAAACATGCTGGCCACCAGGATCCCACCCACCTAAAGCAGCCCCTCAGGTGCCTGGAGACCACTATATAGTGCATAACCCATGTCATCAATCTCTTCTTCCTGCAAGTCACCCAAGAGGTTCACATTGGAGTCAAAGTAGCAGGGCAGGCTGGCCTGCTCCAAGCTGCCAATGAGCAACTCCAGGGCCTGTAGAAAGCGCTCTCCCAAGGCCTCTTCAGTCCAGTCCACCTCATCCTCCCCCAGATGCAGCACCACCTGGGTCAGATGGCCTCGGCCCAGGCGCCCCAGGGATGGGTGGCGATGGCAGACACCACATAGAAGCAGCAGCAGTCTCCGGCGAGTGCCAGCATCATGGTCATCAAGGGCCTGTAGTCTAGCAGCCTCCACTGGATACAAATCCTGAAGCCACAGGTTCCCTGCCAGTCCCTCCAGGGGCCAGGCCAGAAGAAGACGGTTGTCCTTGTTGGCCCCAGTGACTGCTATGAGTAGGATCATGGTGAGTTCCAGGCGCTCATGCTGTACCTCCAGCAGCAACTCCTCCGAGGCCATGCTAGGCCTAATCAGACACCCAAGCAGGCCACCAATGGCCGGCCAGTTGACTGAGGCACTCAGGGCTTTTCGGAGCAGCTCAAGCAGGATTCGAGGGGAGAGGTAACCCCCAACCAGGAAGCGGTCCCAGGGGCTGCTCCCACGTGGGTGGAACTCAAGCTGAGTTCTGCGCACGGCCCAGCAGCGCGGGTCCTGGGCCACAGTGTCCATTCCAGGCACCAGATTCCACAGCCCTGGCTCTAGCACCAGTGGTGCCAAGAGGCGCACATGCTCCGTGGTCCCAGCCTGTAGCCCCTCGTACAGCGGTCCTCCAGGCACGAGCGCCCCAAAGGGCAGTTCTGAGAATTTGTTCCTCAAGTAGGCCTGCAGCTCCAGGGCAATGTCACAAGCCAGCTGTTTGGCCAAAGCTACATTAGCTGTTGGGATAACCACATGGTCTCGCTCGAATGCCAGCAGCCTCTCCTGGAACGTCAGACACAATGGTACTGGGGAGATGAGCTGAGGTACTATCTGAGGTTCTGTGTTTGCAGGTCCCTCTGCAGAAAGAGCGGGCCAAGGGAATGTGACAGAGTGCTCCACAAGTTAAGAGGTTGATTACTAGCTGAGTAATAGCTCTAGTCCTTGTTCCTCACCTGAAATGGCCATTGCCAAAGCACTGAGTCCAGGTCCTCAGGACAGTGAGTACTTGATGACAAAATCTCACTGGCTCAGAGTCCCAACATAATGACCCTTTAGCTTAAACAGCTTCATGCAGAGTGGGGAAGTCCTCTTGCCCCTTTCCACTAGCACAGCCTACATTACCCTTCCCAAACATGGACCATCCCACCCACATAAAAAGGGAAGGGGTGCTGCTCACCTGGACCAGAGGGTGAGGGGGTCAGGGGCGATATGGGCTGACTGAGGGTAGCAGGTGGGGGCCGGGGCTGTTGAGGTGATGTGGCCTTGAGCAGACTGAGTTCTTTCCAGCTGTCTCCCTTGGCATCATCTTCATCCTGAGGGCTAGTGGCCCTGTCGATAAACTGCAGGCAAAGTGACACAAATCAGTCCATCTGATGCCTGAGCACCCATGGCAAAGCAAACCTAAAGGCTGGGGTGGATCCACTGGCAGCCTTAGGAAATCCCACCACCCATCCTGGGGCCCATCGACAGGACTCAGCCCTATCCTTCTATTCTAGAAGCCTCAGGCAGGCTCCACCCAGCCTGGCCTTACCCGCTTCACAGCCAGGGTGGCAATGCCCAGCACAGCAGCCCCACCCACGCCTAGCACCAGACGGGCATTGGCTAAGAGGAAGTCCACAGCGCTGCTCAGGCCTTCCTCACCACGCTGCTTTCCCCGCTTCTGGGAGAACTCGGCCATGGTCTGCCTGCAAGAGAGGCAAGAGAGTAGGGCAAGTGAGGTTGAGGGTGGGGGTAGCCAGGCTGGCAAGGGGCTGGTACGGGCAGGTGCTCAAGTATAACTGAGGGCCTTAGTTGGCTTCCTGAATATTTCTCATAAGAAAGGGAGCAAAGGATTTTTTTTTCCAGGTGAGATTGAGGGAACTGTGAAGTCCTCTCCCTGAAACCTGTAAACAACCCACCTGTTGTTTACAAAAAGGCCCAGAAGGGCCCTGAGCCTGTGCTCCTCAGAGAAGGGGGCATTATTTCAAGACCTGTACAAGACCTCTGCTGTCACCAGATTAATCCGTGAGATGGATCTTATCATCATCTCCCCTACTTTACAGAGACTGAAGCTGCCACACCACAAAGTAAATGGTAAAGTCTCAGACCACTGACTATAAAGCTTCCAGACTCACCCATCCCCAGACAGTCTCTCAGGAGCAACCCAAACCCAGAGAAGACATTCAAATTGGAGTCCCAGATAGCCTGGTGGGCGTGGGGTGGAGCTACCAGATCTTTGGTAGGGACCACAGTAAAGCTTAGTTACCTCCCAAATCTTTTTTTTTTTCCTTTTTTTTTCCGGAACTGAGGATTGAACTCAGGCCCTTGTGCTTGCCAGAGAAGCGCTTATTGTACTGAGCCATCTCCCTGGCCCCCTATTTTGAGAGAAAAATTATCAGAGGCAAAACTATTAAATCGGAGGACAGGCTGAGTGAGATGACCCAGGCTGCTTCTAGAGGTTCAGAGCCTCTTGCAATGGCTAAGAGCAAGCCAAGGCTACAGGCCCCACCATCAGGGTAGCCAGTAGGCACCCCTAAACATGTAGTCCAGAGGCTTCCTATGGCCACTGGACAGAGGGCTTTCTGGGCCTCTTGGGCCTGGGACAGAGCTAGAGGTGGAGAGAAGTGTTCTCATTGCTGGAAGCCCAAGCGACAGAGATGAGGCGAGAGCCTGAAGTCAGGGCCAAACCCACCTGTAAAAGGGCCTTGGTAGCAATGAGGAAGACTCTGAGAGAGTAGTTCTTAAATGTGTGACTGGGTGGGCCCAGGCACCTGGAAAGTGGAGGCAGAAATCTCCCAGGGCCCACTCCACCAAACCACAAGGTCACAGCCTGCTGGGACACCAAGGGCTTCTGCCCTCCCCGCTGGGCTCTGGGTATCTTGAACTCAGTTGCCAAATGACAAGATGCCTGGAGTAGCTGAAGCCTGAGGCTGTGTGACTAAGCCCTGACACCTGTCTGAAGGGGCAAACTAAAAATAAGATGTAGCTCGGATGCCTTCCAGGTCATAGGCCAGCCAGTTGACCCACCGCAGCCCCAAAGCCAGTTTCTGCTTCCTCATCCGTGGCACGGGGACCAACACTGAGGATGCTCTCGGCGAAACCAGGAAACCATTTTGTAAACCGTAAAGCGCTTTTAATTCCAGCACCTGTCTAGAGTGGACTCTAGAGGACCCTAAGGGGGTCGCTTAGGCCCCAGTCCGTAGCCTTCCAATCTTTGGAAGGTGGAGAAGGCACGGGTGTTTAAAAATAACCTGCAAGGGCCTGAGTTCAATTCCCGGTTCCGCCAAAAAATAAAAAATAAAAATAACCTGACTCTACACAACCGGTCCCTGGATACTGCCTGTCCTTCCCCTCCGCGGCCAAACCCACCTGCCCTGAACCAAAGCTGAGCAGGCCGCGCAGCAGCCCATAGACCAGCCTGTTATAACAGCATTCACGGAGAGGTCACCGCCGCCCTGGGAGCCAAGGGCAGTACCCCAAACTGAAAGGACCAGGATAGATTTCAAGTCGGGCTTTGGGACCCAAGGATCTCCCCTCCCAAAGCGGCTAACCACGGGCCACGCCCCCGAATGTGTCCTGGCCGCGGACCACGCCCGGGGCTGAGTGACCTGGGGGCCGCCTCACCGGCCTCTGGGCAATACCTCCGTCCCGGCGTCAGCGAACCGACCGGGGAACGCTCTGGTCCGCCAGGACTTGGGCCTCTGACCGTCCTGGAAGTAGAACGTACAGAACCTAGGAACAGAACGCCGAGGCCAGAGGGCGGCCGCTGGCCCTGCAGGCACGCAGACAAGCAGACCGTCGCCCCAATCGGAGCGCTCCGCTCCCGCAGACACGTTCCAAAACACGGCCCGGCACAGCCAATGACGGGGAGCCCACGCCCTCTCGCCGTCCGGCGCGTTCCCTCCGGGGCGGAACTCGCCGAAGCAGTCTGCACTTAAAGGTGCAAGGCCGCATTCCGAGCCCACGGTGGGGCGGGGTGCGTGCCATTATTCCGGAACCCGTGTGACTAGCGTGTGCTTGTAACGGGAGCTTCTGTCTGCAGAGGTTGTCTGCGCCCACGTTCCTTCCAGGGGCCAAGCAGACAGACTGCTCTTGGCCCAAAGGCCCGCATTCTGTCTCGGGTCACCTCTGCGAGAGTCCCTGCTGGCTATTACCTGCTGGCCCGGCTCAGCCTCTGTCACCCAGTGCTCGCGACTTGTATGAACCATTAACGTCTAGAACTCAAGTTTTTCTGTTCTATAAAACGGAGCACTAGACACTTACACCCACGCCGGCAAAGGGTGGCTGTGCACGTCATGGCGAAAGCCGCGAAGAGACCTAAGACGAAACTCCTAACGATGCTGGACGCCTCTTTTCGAAAACATGAGGCAAATCAATCAATCAATCAATCGCGGAGAAGCCTACCGGACGCCTCTCTTCGAGAACATGAGGCAAATCAATCAATCCATCAATAGCGGAGAAGCCTAGACACTTAAGTACGAATAATAATACATTAGCCTGCCGCCTAGCGCCTGCTGAGTGCTGGAAAGTACGCGCGCTGTTGCTCTTCCGCTTCTGACAACGGTAGGAAGCACCACACGCAGAAGCAGGGAGGCTGGGGCAGAAGACCCAGAAGTCGCGCCAACTCAGGTCTGTCTTACACAGGCAGAGACTGCCGGGGCTGAATCCAGAATCTTTGCCAGGGTCACGACCAACTTCTGTAGCAGCCCAATGGACAGTGCCTGGACCTACAGGGCCATCACCCTCTTCCGCGGACGCTGCGACTGAGGCTGTGGGCACCTGCAGCTCCAGCACTGTGGCGCCCACACCCCGGGGGCCTCTCCAGTGCCGAGCCGGCGGGACTTTGAGGCCTAGAGAGGCGGAAGGCTTCCGAGGCTCCGGGCGCGGGCGGGTTAAGGGGCGGGGCCGGGGCCGCCCAGCCCGCCGCTCCCGAGCCGCCTCCCGCCCCGCCCGCCCGCCGGCCAGGCCGCGAGAGCGGCGCCGCCATGGAGGCTACCGGGGTGTTGCCGTTCGTGCGTGGCGTGGACCTCAGCGGCAACGACTTCAAGGTGAGCTGAGCCGGGCAGCAAGGGTGAGCGGGGCCTCCCGCTGCGAGGGGCCGGGCCGCGCGCTGCTTCCTGTCCCGCGGCCGAGACTGTGCGGGGAGGGTGGGGCTCGCAGCCTGCCTCCGGGCTCGGAACCCACCCGAGGCCTGGGCTCGGCGTCTCGCGGGACCGGCTGGTGCCCCGACCCTACGTCCCTGTTCTTATGGGGCGGTTCCCTGCCCGGGACCGGCGCTCCTGTGCTCCCACCCCTCCGAGGTCACACGCCCGAACCAGCCCTGATGACTCAGGCGGGCCCGGCGGCCCAGGCTGCCCGGGGCGGGTCTGGAGCGTCTCCTCCCTGCGCTGTCGCCACCCCGCCTTCGCGTCCCCCTTCACTCCCCGTGACCTGTGTGGTCTTGGGCGAGTCACTTCCCCTCTCCGAACCTGGGTTTTCTCATCCGGTGAAAGCTTTGAAAATAGACCGTTTGGATGCCTGGAATGTAGTGAGATCTGTTGCTATGGAGTGTAAGGCAGATGTATAAGGTCTTGGGTGACAGTTGTCTGTGCAGCTGCTAGACTGATAGATTTAGGGACAAGGAACCCAGCCCTTGCCCAAGTCAGTTGATGGGAAAAGGGAGGTAGTTCTAGGGAGTAATAAAGTGGGTCAACTCAGGGCCAGCAGACAAGGGAAGGGGAGCTGGCCCAGAAAGCCAAGGACTCAGCGGGTTACAGGTGACCAGTGCGCTTAGATGTCTGTCTGGGGCTGGAGAGAAGGTGAGCTTTTCTACTTTACCAGCATTTGTATGCACCTTTGATTTCAGGCACAGGCAACCACACTGTATTCTCTCTGATGCCCCACCCCCACCCCCGTCTTTATCTGGGGTCTCCCTGTATCTTTTCTGGACCAGGAAAGTCTGAGTCACCAGAAGGGAATGTGGCTCTAAGGGCAGGGACAAAACCAAAGGCACTGAAAGTACATGCTGCCTCAGACTAGATTCATGCCACAGCACCCACAACGCCCGTGGTCATGTGGGGGCTTTGGCATATGCAGAGTGAGCAAGTGAATGAATGGATGGGTGAATGGCTGAATGCATGAGGTGATGTCTGTATGGGGTGGGGCCCTGGGCCTTTAACACAGTAGTAGTTTAGGCCTTGTCAGGAATGACTGACATGCTGGTGGTGCCCCTGAGGGACAGTCACTGGGATCTCAGGTGGCCCAATCAGGAATGGGCAAAGTTGGGGCCCGGGAGAGGGCTCAGTGGAATAAGCGCTTCCCTGGCAAGTGCAAGGGCCTGAGTTCAATCCTTGGTTCCGGGAAAAAAAAAAAAGGAATGGGCAAAGCTGAACACAAAGTGGGTGCTAGGATTCATGTTAAATAAGCCAGTTTTATTCTGGCCTTCCTGGGGCTCAGAGACCATTAGCAGAGAAAAACCTTAGGTCAACATGTTGTCACATGGAAGTTTTTAATAACCCCATTTTATGGATGAAGAAATTGAGACAGAGTGACCAAGTGACTTGTCCAAGGTCTCAGAGCTGGTGAGTTGGCTGTTTTTCCAAAAGAAAACTGCCACAGGTGGGGGGGAGAAGGGGAACAGGAGGCACCCTTCACTCAAATGAGCCTCACCCTGACATCCCCCCCCAGGGTGGCTACTTCCCTGAGAATGTCAAGGCCATGACCAGCCTGCGATGGCTAAAGTTGAACCGTACAGGCCTCTGCTACCTGCCTGAAGAGCTGGCTGCCCTGCAGAAACTGGTAAGGGGCTTTGGGCAGTCAGGGAGGGTATGGATGGGGCTAGACTTAGGTAGGTATGGCCTACAGGGAAGGCGAAGTACATAGAAGAAGAACAGCTGTGAGTAAAGCCGGTGGAGGCAAAGTGAACACTCCATCCTGGGAGGTGTGCAGGAGGAGCTGGGTGTGCAAGGGAGGGAGGCTGCAGAAGTGTTTCAGGCTGATGGACCCTTCTAGATAGTGCAAAGCTCCAGGGCAGACAGGGACTCTAGACACCCCACCTACCCTCTGCTCTGCTCTGAGCCTCTGCTCCCCTGTCCTGGCCTAGGAGCACTTGTCTGTGAGCCACAACAACCTGACCACACTTCATGGAGAGCTGTCCAGTCTGCCTTCTCTTCGGGTAAGTGCTGGCCTGGAGGCCTCCAGGCTTGGGGACCTGAGGTCAGAGCTGGAGCCTCAGGTTGGGCCAGTGTCTCTGCCACCTCCAAGTCTGGTTCAGGTGCCAGGTATGACAGAGAGGCTCCCTGTTAATTAGGAAGATACAGTTATGTCCTGTGTAAAGAAATCCATGTGGATCAGAGAATTCCATGGGGGAGTGGTAAAATAATCCCATTCCTACCACCATTTTGAGAGCCTGTTTAGATGTACTAGCAGGTGAGCACAGCTATTCCTATACCATTGACTGAGATAAGATCCTGCTCTATCATTTTTCTCTTGCTTTTCTCTCTCTCTCTCTCTCTCTCTCTCTCTCTCTCTCTCTCTCTCTCT